GGCCTCCTCTGACTTCATCTGCTGGCCTTCCACAGGCCGTGTGCCGCTGGGGCAGTGATGATCTGCTCTGTCCTCACTTCACTTGGAGGGTGTTGATCCGGGAACGTGCCTGTGAGCGTGTGTTTGGGAAACACCTCGGAAGCACAGGGTAAAAGCACACTTTCCCTCTGAAGCCTGAAACCTGAAGGGAAGGCAGCACTGACATGAGCTCAGATGCACAGAGAAAGGTGTCTTGTCAGGTCCTGCACGGAGCGGGGAGGGGGGCTGGAGGGCCAGTAGAGTCTTTCGTGCCACCTTGACCTTCCTTTTTCCTGTGCCTTGGAGTCAACAGGTTCGTTTGAGGAAAGCAGATGACTGCAAGTTTCAGAGCATTTTATAAAATCTAAATTCCTCTTCCTTTTCCTAGAAGAGGTAGGGTGTAGCCGAAGGTGACCCGTCAACACCATCCTCGCGGATGTTAGAGATGGGGGTGGTGGCCTCGGTGGGATCTCTGGGTGATGGTTTCGTGAAACTGAACCTGTGGAGACACAATGGGGAAACTATTAACAAGACCAAAAACCAGGAATGCACTCTCATCGGGTACCGCTTACAGCTCAGGTCAGATGAGCAAAGCCACGGCCAGCCCTGTGGGAAGCTGGATGAGCCTCAGAAGGCGTGCGGGCGTCGCCCTCTCTCAGCCTGGCAGCTGCGGACACGAGACCGCAGGGGGGCACGGTGGCCTTGTGCTCCGCCGGCTTCCTTTTCGTTTGTGTGTCTGTCCTAGACTTAGGCCCCAAGTAAACAAGTGTCTGCACCTCCTGTGCCAGTCCCCAGAAGAGTTGTCTGCTTACTCCTTTTGGGGAAAAAACAAATGTTCACAAATTGAAGAGTTTTCAAATAGTATAATCTTCTATTCATCAGAAATTTCTTTTGTGCTCCCTGTGCAGTCCTGGGGGGCATAAAAAGTGATCACTTACAAGCCCCGACTGTGTAGGAACGACAAGTAGAGGGAAATAAAGTTTGTATCTAAGCAGCTAATTAAAAAAAGAAAGAAATATGCCTTCAGAAGGCTACAAATTAAGCGTTACGGTAGTTCAGAGGAGGGAGAGAGAAATATGGCCCTTTATCTGACATCCGTGGGGAAGTGGTGGTCTCTCCTCACGTGTTTGGGTACAGAACTGTCCTTGCATAACAACATTTTCACATGTTGCCTAGAACTGCACATGCATGCTAAGGGGTGCTTAAAACTATAGGACAATCATGAAACCAGAAAAACACTCAAGAAAAGACACTTGTTTGTATCCTGCCCATGTATTTTTTTTTTTTTT